AGCATCTCGCGACAGTGTCGCGGAAATGCTCTTCGCACGTCGCGTGGTCTACTGAACACCGCCAATTGCACGATCGCCCAACGGAGTGCGCATCGGGATCCCGTCCCGCCCAGCTGGCGGGTCTGGGTCGGTGAAGCGAACAGTCGGGCCCCAAAGCGTGGTGCCTAGGAGTGATGGTGCCCCAGTCGTCATGCCCTCCACTGCATTACTTGGGTAGATTGGCAACACAGTCCACAAACTCTCCGCTGCATCCCCGCCAGGAACCAGCGACTTCTCTGCTCGCTTCTCCCGGGGCTCTCGGGACACAGACCCAAGAAGTTCGGGACCTTGTGTCGAGCAACTGTCTAACACTGGAGGCTACCCCCACGGGCAGGGGCACTGACAATTTGGGGGCCGCGAGCTGCCTGCACACAGTCCGAACGGTCCTTGTAGATGTTGGTGGTGTTGTCCTTGGCGAAGTACTGGTTGTGTACGTTTTCGGCCACTGGTCCTGACGGATAGGCAGATGCCCCGACGGACCCTAGAGTAACGCCTCCTGCCATAATGAGCGGGAAGAGGTGCACGAAAGCGATGATGTCGAAGGCGGATGTAAGGCGGGATGTAGAGCGGCATGTAGAGCGACACGACGTGGTGTTTCAACATATGTGCTGGTCCAACCTTGACGTACCTTTGAATGCGTCTCCAGCAGGCGTCGCGATGTACAGCGACGGAAAGTAGAAGCCATGGCCATCGAGGCGAAGCGGGACATGGAGGCCGTGGTATTGGAGCAGGGGCGAACGTGCCCCGCTACCAGCAAAAAACGGAGATGTGGATGGTGACATATTTGCCCGCAAAGGGAAGCTGTAGAGCGATGCGTAGCGTGTAAAGCGGGCGCGGCAAAGGATCTTTGAAATCGAATACGGCAGCGGCAAGAACAGGAACAAGCAGACAAGGCAGGAGGACCTACCGTACGAGTCGAAGAGGGTAGAGGAGGAGAGGAAGAGAAGAGGAGAGGAGGAGAGGAGGAAGGAGAAAGGATGAGGAGGAGGGAGGGAGGAGGGAGGGATAAGAGGAGGACGGCTCCGCCCGAAGAAGCATCCTCCGGCATCTCCGCCGCGTTTCCGTGCGCCCTCCTCCCCTCACCCGCCCGGCATTGACCTAAGAGCCATGTTCCTCCCTATCCCCTGGCGCAGGCCAGGGAGCGGGAGCGCCAAGGGCTCCTAGGTCACCTCAATTCGCGTCACGCCCCGCGACGCGCGAAGCGCGGTCCTCTTCGCGCCCCTGGGAGCGGCATGCATAAGGGGCTCCAGTGCTTGCGCAGACCCGCCCACAGCCTCCAGGCCTCAAGGAGGACGGGCGAGCGGAAACACCTCACTGCTCTCGGGAAGCGAGCAATCCCCCCGCCCGAAGGCGGAGAAGTCGAGCCCCAAGCAGGGATGCCAGAAGCCAGTGCCCAAAGGGTCGGAGTGGATGGCATCAGCACCTTCATGTTCTCTTCTGCAGGCCGCTTGATTTGCTTCGGGTCGAGCGCAAAAAAAAATCTGCCATTATCTCGACAACCCCCCCAGGACCTCCGGGCGTGGCCCAAATGAGGCAGCCGGACCGTCCCCCTTTCTTAGGGGGAACGTTAGGAGTGGATCGGCTCAGGGGGGGGGGGGGAACATCGACATAGAATCGGAGAGACATCGCCGATAGATCGGTGATAGGCCCTCGATAGCAAATCTGGACGCTCTTCGGCGGATTGGACTAGCAGGCCCCGAGCGGCGATGCGTGGGCGGATCGGGGTCGATGCACTCCACCCTGAGCCTATCCCCCCAAACGTTGCCCCTGGCTGTCGCGGTCCCCTGGCGGAGCCGTTCGTCCTCAGATACGGTGCAGGAAGTATGCTCTGCTCCGGGAGGCCTGGCTCCCCTCTCTTCTTGGCAGCGCGCACAAGGGGGTGGGGGGAGGGGGGAGGCTTCTTAGAGGGAGGCTGCTTCTGAAAAGGCGCCCGCCCTGCATCTACGGATAAGGCCCGCGCCTTCTAAAAAGCAGCCTCCCTCTAAGAAGCCACCCCCCCTTCCCCATACCCTCCTCCTGCGCGTGGCCGGTCTTTTTCGTGAAGGCCGTGCCGGGACGCCGACCTCGGGCAGGCAAGAGGCCTGCAAGGCCAGCGGAGAGGGCGGAGTGGAGGAGCCCACCCTAGAGGTTCAGGCCAGCAGCTCCCCCATCAGAGCCGCAGATCGAGAACATCGTTCTCCTCCTTGGTCCTTGCTCCTCCTCCACCTCCACCACCACCTCCACCTCCACCTCCACCTCCACATCCTCCTCCACCTCCTCCTCCTCCTTTTCCTCCTCCTCCACCTCCTCCTCCTCCTCCTCCTCCTCCTCCTCCTCCTCCTCCTCCTCCTCTGCACTCCTGTCAGTCCTAGCCCTTACCACCCTTGTCGTCCGTGGCCCACCCACCTCACTGGGAGCCGCAGCCTGACGGAGGAGGAGTGCTTCAGGGATGCACATGCACGGCACTGTATGAGAGAGATCCTGGGGAACGGGAGCTTCGCCGCAGAGTAAACTCTGGCAAAAGGGGCAAAAGGGCACTGCAAGAGAAATCAGACCGCACATTTAACCTGCAGAACGCAACAGCCCTCTGGGCGCAAGTAGTTTGAAGCATCAGCTCGTCGCTCGCCCAAACCCCCCCCCCCTCGAAAAGCTCAAGCTAAGCTGCGCTGCGCTGGTCTAAGCTCAGGTTTATCCCTCTTTTGGTTCGACTGGTGTTCCCGTCCGCTGATTCACTGGCGACCCTGCACCCCCTTCCACGCGACAACTCACCCAAGGGTCGTTTCTAGCTGAGCCGTGGGGCCACAGGAAACGTCAAGAGCTTCTCCTGGATGGCCTGTGTGCCCCTGCTCTAGCCCAGGCTCTCGATTTAGTGAGGTCTTCGAACGCACGGCTGGTACCTGTCGTGTACCAGGAAACTGGAAAAGACATGCACCTACATTTGTATCCAGATCTCGCCCAGGCCGACAACGTCACATGTATCGCGCTTCCTGGTGGACGCAGACGTTGGTCATCGACACCGCATCGATCGCTGTCTTGAGCGATCTCCAGGCCCTCGACCTTGACTACACCGGCCAGGGTCGCTGCCGGGCTGAGGCGGCGCGAACCTGCAGCGTCATTAGGGGGCAAACAAACCTACCTCGCTTTTGACCACCCTCGCTTCCAAGAGATACCAAGCGATGCCAAACTACGGCCTGTACTGGTCAAGCCGCTTGGCGAGGAGGCGCGTGGTATGACTTGGCTTTGCCTGGAAGCGAAAGCGGGGTAGGTAATTCACGCTCTGAGTCAAGACTCTCAGCTCGAAAGCCGGATGGGCTGGGGAGCGAGCCGACGAGGCGCCAGCGTCGGGGCGCCGACCCGCCTGTGTCACCGCTTCCTGGAGGGAGGACGAGATGGAGGAAGTGAAGGAGGACGACGACGATAACGCTGCCGTTCCCTCTGGGAGGAGGAGGAGCAGCGGCAGCAGGAGCAGGAGCAGTGGCAGGAACAGGAACACGAACATAAGCAGGAGCAGGAGGGAGGAAAAGAGGAGAAGGACGCCGGCGACGACGACGACGATGACGACGGGACGACGACAAAGACGAGAACCCTAGGAGGGCGCCAACTATACCTATACGACCACCCTGCGGGTGATAAGGAGGTTGGGGGGGGTCCCAGCAATCATCATCATCATCATCATCATCATCATCATCATCATCATCATCATCATCATCATCATCATCATCATCATCATCATCATCATCATCATCATCATCATCATCATCATCATCATCATCATCAACGTCGTCATCATCATAATCATCATCACCATCATGGCCATCATCACCATCAGCATCGCACAATCGATCTCACACTCGGTCTCACTATCGATATCACAATCGATCTCACAATCGACGTCATCATCATCATCATCATCATCATCATCATGATCATGATCATCATCATCATCATCATCATCATCATCATCATCATCATCATCATCATCATCATCATCATCATCATCATCATTGACGACACCAACATCATCATCATCGCCATCATCAACATCATCGTCATCATTACCATCATCATCATCACCATCATCATCATCACCATCATCATCATCATCATCATCATCAGCATCATCATCATAATCATCCACGTCATCATCGGGACACCGACGGGACACCGAAGGGACACCAGCGGGACACCGGCGGGACACCGCGCGGCACTGGCCGCCCGGTCAAGGTTCTTTTGCCCCGGCCGCGCCTCAGCCACACGGGGCACCAGCGGGACACCGGCGGGACACCGCGGGGCACCGGCCGCCCGGTCAAGGTTCTTTTGCTCCGGCCGCGCCTCAGCCACAGGAGACTTTCTCTCGCCCGCCCACGCAGCTTCGCCTCGCCCGCACGGCACGCACGAACACGAAACCGAAATCGATTTCCCGGTAGGGGGGCTCTCCGTTCCACTTCGATCTCACCCCCCAACCTCCGACACCCAGACCGATCCTGGCGACGCCCCGTCCAGGTCCTGGACTGGTGCACATGCCCCCCCAGGCTTGGCCAGGAGGGCTTAAGCATGCTACACACCAGCCCTGAGCCCAAGACTGACCTGGCCAGGCTCGGTGCAGGTGCAGCACCTGGCGCCCCCCGAGGACGAGGCCGAGGACGAGGAGGGCTCGACCCCCAAATGGCCGCGCTTCGGAAGCGCGGCGAGGGCACCACCCGCCTCGCGTGGTCGCTGGCCCGTCCGCCTCGAGGCCCGGTGACCGGAGCGCCCGCGGCGCGCGCACACTCGGCGACGGCGGCGGCGGCGCCGCCGCCCGCCGAGGCCAGCGGCGGCGACGAGCGCGGCAGGACCTGGCGTGCTCACAGCCGGCCCGAGCGCGGCTCGCACGCGGCCGGGGGCGCTGAGCGCCCGCGGCGCACACTCGGCGGCGGCGGTGCCGACGAGGGCCCCTGCCGGAGGGCAGTGCAGCGGCCTCGCCAGGGATGCGCTCGGCAGGGTCAAGACCTCAAGTGGAAGCACCAGGCCCCCGATCCGGGCCGACCCCCCGCGCGATCCTGACCCTTGCCCGACCGATCCTGTACGGCCGGACCTAGGACAGAGGAACATCCTTCAAGAACATGAGACCCTCCGCCGGCCAAACTGAAGAGCGTTCGAAGGTTTCCGTCCCCCAGGATGCACAAGAGCACCCAACAAACACGAAGAACATTAGGATACCCTCACCGAACCGACCTCGATCTCATACCTCGTCCGACCGTACCTCGTCGCCGTCGTCGTCGATTCTCGCGGGTTCGAGGACCGAGGTTGTCGGGCGTTCTAGAGGGGGGCCTGCGTCGGGCATCTGGAGGTCTCTTGGCAGCGGCGGCGCGATCCAGATCCCGATCTGGCCCGAGCCTGGCACGCGCCGGAGGCCCCGTTGGCCGCGGCCGCATGCGTCCCCCCCACGCAGTGCAGCGCGTGATGGCCCCGTAGAAAGCTCCGCCGAAGGCCCCGGTGGCCCTGGCCGCCCCCGCTGGTCGAGCGGCCCGATCGAAGACAGAGTCGGTCAGCACCGAATCGGGAGATCGGGACGAGCATCGGGGCGTGCGTGGCGGCGCGGGCGAGGGGGTGGTGCGAGGCGTGCGGCCTCCTGAGGAGGCGGAGGGGGACTGCTTACAGGCCCTCCCGACTTCTAAGAGAGGGTTCTTGGAAGCCCTTGGGCCCTTCAAAGAGGCCCCTGCCCCTGCCTTCTGAGAGGCCCCTCGCCTTCTTAGAAGGTCGCCCCCCTCGTGCCACCAGTTTGTGCGCGCCGCCAGCGTGCGTCGGACCGGGTCGCACCAGCACTGAGTCGACAGATCAAATCGGATCAGCCGCGCCAGGATGCACAGCAGCGCCACGCAAGCATCGGGCCGCATCGGATCGCCGCGATGTCGGAACCCAGTCGGACTCGAGCAGCCAGAGTCGATACAACTGCGCACCGTGAAGAACGCTACATAGCGCGCGGATGCACGTGGAGCCCTGGAGGAAAGAGCATGGACGAGCCCGAGGAACAGCGAGCCCCTTCCGAACCCGACCTGCTCCTTAATCTCAGCGCCTGCAGTGTATCGGCGGTGGACAAACCTCCCTTCAGAAAAAAACCTCAATTTAGTGAAAACGGCCTAGGACCGAAACCGACGGACCTGGACCCGCAAAAATGACGGCCGCGACGCCCTCTCGCAAACCGAAAACGGCCAATTCACTAATCGACACGTGTCAGGATAGGAGGTCTATCAACCTCCGAATGTATCACAGGGCGCTCGGCTGGGAGCAGAAGCCCGACGATCTCCACGCGCGGCGCTGGGCGGGTAGAGCCCTGCAGCCAGGGATCGAACACCCACGCAGGCCCAGCTCCTCCCTCATTAAAACGAAGCCAGGGCAGGGACAATATCAGACAGGGATAAATCGGGCATCTCTGAGATCGGTCGGCTCTGGAGGATTGTATCGAGCGCCGCAGCCTTCTCAGAGCGTTCCGGAAAGTTCTGGAACAATTTTATGCCTGTCCCAGCCCCGCCCGACTCTCTTCCATGGCGCGCGGAGCGCGCCAGGGGGCGGCGCCAGAGACGCCCCCAGGTGAGCCCAGCGCCGATCCAAGAAATCTGCGCGGACCCCTGAAAGTTTGGGCTTTTCTGTTTTTCCTGCCCCGGTGTATCGAATCGGATCGATCGGATCGAACATGGACTCTCAGGCTCTGGACGCCCGAAGTGGGTACGGCAAAAACGGGCACGATGCTCAGCAACAAAGTGTTGTCCAAAACCAACAGCGGCCGCTGTTGGGCCGGCGGCCTTCTGCCTCACATGGACACCGCCCGCGGCGATACCGACAGCGAGCCCTGTCCAGAATGGGCAGGAAGCTGCTGTCGCTACCACTCTTTCCGTACCCAGTCCGATCGGACTCCTGGGCGAATCGGCGGGGAGACAGGGGCCCGATCCCGCCGGCCAGCACCAAAGACCGATGGCACATGCAGTCATCCGTCGGCGTGAGGCCCGAGCCCACTAAGGGAGCAAGGGTACAGAGCAGCGTGACCCAGAGTGCTGCTCGAGCTGACGAAAGAACACTGCTGCGCGCGATCGTTGCGACATGCTCGACCTTCTCGAACCAGATCGATCGGATCGAACATGGACCCCTGGGCGCATCGGCTACACGCAAGAAAGACCCTGGGCAAAAGAGCGGCCTTAGGTGCGCGGCTCTCGGGGGGCGCAGGGGGAGGCCGAAAACAGGGCACGCGGGCCTCTGCTAATTATCGCATCCCTTCCAGCCATCTGGCGACCCCGCGTGTGCCCGCACCGAGGGCCACTCCAGCAGGAGGTCACTCCTTAGCACGGGGGAGAAAAGGGGTCCTGAGGGTCCTGGGCCCTGGGGCCTTCCCCCGGGGATGCGCTCTGCATCCGGAGCCGTTTTGCGGACGGTCCCGGGGCCCGTGGAGAGCCCCGGGAGGCCAAAAACGGCGAACAGCCCTGGGAGCCGCGCTTCCCACAGGACCAGCTTCCCCCACGGCGAGCTCCTGCACGCAGCCGACAGGGGCCTGGCCCCGCCGGCCAGCAGATCGGGCGCGCCCCTCTCCGAGGCCGCGGCGGCAGGAGAGGTCTCCGCAGCCCCGCCCACGCCTCGCGCGCGCCGGGTCCTCGGCTGGATGGGCAGAAGCGAAGAGGATCAGTCGGCACCGAATCGGGAAATCGGATCGGATCGAAATGCGCAGCGGAGATCGGGCTGCATCGGCGCGGGACCGAAACATCGAATCGGAGCGGCTGCGACAAGATGCACGACGGCACCATGCACGCATCGTGCCGTATCGGATCGCCAGGACGTCGAAATCGAATCGGATCGGGCCAGCCAAAATCAACGTGGAATCGGATCGATCGGATCGACATGGACCCTGCACAAAGGGAAAGTATGTAGCCGTTCATAGGAGCCTTCGCGTTACGCTGAGGCGTGCACTTTCGTTCCATTCTCGTTCCAATTCCGTTCCACCTCCGTTCCACCTCTGTTCCACGCCTGGCGCAGCTTGCGGCCCACGCGCAACGCGTGACGCCATGGGCCTAGCGCCATCAGAGCACAACGGCCACTTGGGCACGATCGCGACGTTCTCTTTAGAAAGGGAAAGATAAAACGTAACGCGAAGGCTCCGATGAAAGGCTACATAAGGGAAAGGCCGGCCTGGAGACAAAGTCGGGTGGGGCGACACGTGAGGTATACTCAGACGTGATCGCGTCCTGAAAAAATCGCGCTGGGAGTGTTTGGGCCATTCTCGGCCTCCAGGGGCCCTCGCCGGGCCCTGGGGCCATCAAAAAACAACTCGGGATGAAAAAGCGGACCTGGGGAAAGGATCTGTACTTTGGGGGGGCCTCGTATCGAAAAACATCAAACATCGGATGTCTGGGTAAGTAGTCAAGGAGGGGTTAGCGTCTCAGCTTACGTAGCTGGGTTTCCCGGCGCCTCCCCGCGCCTGGAGGTCCCCATGTATCGACGAAGGCGCCTGGCGTCGGGGTCGAAACCAACTGCACGCAGCAGATTTCGTAACCACCCCCTTTCCCTATCCCCCACCTTCGTCCGACCCGACATAGGCGGAGAGCGCGCACATCCCCGCGTCGCGAGAGAAATCACGGCGGGAGGTAACATGTTTTCGGCCTCGAAAGGCCATCTCTGGGCCTGGGCACCGTCAAAAACTACTCGGGATGAAAAACGTGTCCCCAGAAAGGGTCCAGACCTCTGGGGAGCCGCGTTGTGAAAAAAAAGGTGTGGGGGGGGGGGGGGGGGGGGGGGGGCCAAGATGGACCCTTAGATCCTGGCGTCTGGCGTCGCAGCCTTTCCACACGGGGCGTTTTTCCGCCCGATTTCGGGCACTGGGGCCCTCGCAGATCCATCTGGCTCGCGAAGTGGCAGAGAAACTTCGGGTTGAGGGCTCTGGTGGCTTCGTTGCGTCGCCGGATCTCGGGGGACGTAGAGGGAGGGGGAAGGAGCAGAGAGAGAGAGAGGAAGAGGGATAGGGAAGGAGAGACAGAGCAGGGAGGAAGAGGCATGAGGCGGAGCGGGGAGGGGAGGGAGGACGGGGGGGGCGGGGGGGAAGGTAGGAGAGAGGCAGGGAAGGGAGGGAGGCGAGGGAGAAAGGGAAGAGCAGGAGAGAGGGGGGGGCAAGGGAGGGGGGTGAGGGGAAGGGACAGGACAAGGAGATAAAGAGACATAATATGCTTAGAGGTGTTTGATGCACCCATATACATATGTGCATATATATACATGTCTAGATACACATAACCATATACATAGACATGCATAATCATACGCACCTCTCCGAGGGAGCAGAGCTCAGAGGCGATTGAATGAACGTCCCGTGCGCGAAATGTTTGGCCGTTTGGCTCGGGACATCCTCAATATGATGAAAATAAGTCGCACCCTTCACGCACATCGCGACGTCACGGTCCAAAAACACAAATGGAATTCTAAGAATCTGGACGTCGCAATTAGAAGCATACCGTCTCGCGTGAAACATCCCCAAAACATTGAAACCCGGCGTATTCTAAGTTTTCCTCGAAATCTTCAAAACCACACAGTTTCGCTCGAGAGATCCTCCAGACATTGACTTCGGAGCTCATTTTACAACTGCAATACACCCTCCTGCGCCATACACATCGCAAAGTGTGGCAACCCCACCCGTGTTCGACTGCGATCCTGCTGTTGCACCTCCGTCCCAACAGCCCCATAGTGATCTTCATATTCCTCCTCACCGTTTTCCTCTGCTTCTCCATCTCCTTCCTCCTCCTCCTACTCTCCTCCGCCTGCTCCTTCTCCTCCTCCTCCTCCTCCTCCTCCTCCTCCTCGGATCCGACTTCATATTCCTCTTCCGGCACATGTTCTGCGATGCGTACATGCTGCAGTTGTTTGCATGGGCCTGAGAACACACATGCCACACATACATACGACCAAAAAACTAAGCCAAGCCAAGCCAGCCAAGCAAGCAAACAGGCAAACAAGCAAGCAAGCAAAAGAAGCGAACGATAAGCAAACAAACCAACCAATACAACAACACCACTGGTGGGCCAAGCCTCCCCAGCGTCACGAGCCTCCCGATGTCCCCCCCCCTGGGGCCCGGCACCCCATGGCACACCAACAGCGTTGGGCCGCCGGCCGCGAGGCTGGCCTGCACCGCCCCGGCCCCTGCCGCCGCCGCCGCCCTTGCTCCAGCCGTGGCCCCCGCCGCCGAGCTCGCCCCCGCCGAAGCCCTTGCGAGGGGGGTCGGCAGGGGGCAGGCCCCGCACAGAGGGAACAAGGGAGCGGCGTGAACAGAAAAACTGTCCACGGTCCGCGCGGATTTCTTGGATCTGATCCGCTCGGACCGTCGAAACTTTATGTTTATGCAGTTTCTTCTTATTCGACGGTGGGCGATCGATACTTGATCCATGCCCCTGCTCGCGCCAGACCCCACGAGGAGCAAGAGCGGGGGTATGGATGGATTCCTGGCCTCCGAGACCACGCTCCTTTGTCCAAGCCCTGGTTCCCCTGCCGCCAAGAGCAGGGGGCAGCAGCAGGGGTATGGATCGAACGTCGATCGCCGAGCCAGAGATCCGAGGCTCCGAAAAAATCTGAGCGGCCGGGTTTTTGTCGGCGGCGAGCCCAGTGGGGAGAAGGGAGAGGGGGCAAGCCTCCTCAGAAGGCGGCGGGACTTCTCAGAAGCCCTCGCGCCTTCTCTGAGAAGTGTTCTGCACATCCGGGGAAGGCTTACAAATGTCTCAGAAGGCTTGAGGCCTTCCGAGCCTTCTGGGAAGGCCCGCCCCCTCTCACTTCCCCCCGGGGTTCGCCGCCGATTTGGGCCTTCTCCGACCCACCGACGAGAAAAAACAGTCCTGGGCAAGTCGTCCAGACCCTCGGGGACGCACGCATCGAAAGAATTGCAGGGCCAGATGTCTGGGAGGCTGGCCTGTGGGGTGGGTGGTGGACACAACGACCCGGAATCGGCGGTGCGTGGCCGATGGATCAGCGACAGGCCCCCGAGAGCGAGAAACCGCACCTTCCTGGGCGGGGTGGGGGCCCATCAGGCCCCGATATCGGCGACGCGTGAGCGGTCGGGGGCGTGAGCGGTCGGGGGCTGCTGCTCCACACACACACACACACACACAATACACACAATACACACACACACACAATACACACACACACACACACAAAATACACACAATACACACACACACACACACACACGCACACCCTGGGTGGCCAGTCACCCCTCCCTGCCGCCGCTTCTGCAGAGGCCTCCCAGATGGGGTCGCAGTAGGTGGGGTCGGAGTTTCGCGCCGCATCACCGGTGCATCACCGACGGATCGGCGATGCATCGGCGACGTCAGCGCGAAGAAAAAGGCGGGCCCCGCGTCCACGTCGAGCCGCAGCGCCGATGCCTCGGCGAGGCTGTGCAGTCCTCCGATCCCCTCTGCTCCGACCTCAGCTGGGATGCCTCGACCCTGCCTGGCCTTGCCCCTGCCCTTTCGGTGGCCCTCCTTGGGCGGCGCGCCCAGGGGGGAAGTGAGGAGGGGCGGGCCTTCTCAGAAGGCTCGGAAGCCCCCCCGCCTTCTGAGAAGCTTTCGAAGCCTTCCCCGAAGGCACAAAAACCTCTCAGAAGGCGCGAGGGCTTCTGAGAAGTCCCGCCGCCGTCTGAGAAGGCCTCCTCCTTCCCACTTCCCCCCCCTCGCTCGCCGCCGACTCCTCCCCGTGGGCCCAGGGCAGCTCGTCCAGGGCGATGCCCAGGATCGCCGCCGATGGTGGGGCGCCCCCGGGCGGGGCCTCGGCCTCGCCGGCCCGGTCCTGGCCGTCGCGGGGGTCCGAGGACGGCTGCTGGAGGGGAGGAGGAGCGAGGACCCAGAAACTCACGGCTCTCCATCGCGATCGCTGCTTTGAGGACCAGGACTCGTGTCCCATCACTGGAAGTTGGTTGGGGCAGGACGGTGGTTTTGGTACCAATACTTCCTATTTCCTGCGCCGGAGCAGGCAACAGAACAAGGGTTCCGAAGCAGGCTTGCCCCGTGTCTTGCGCCGTCTCAACAAGAGATGGTCTGGCGCGACGAGCCTCGAATTGCATCTAAGTTGGCGGCTATGTCACTCCCACCTGGTTCAGAAATTCAGGGCTGCAGATCACGAGTATTGCTTTGAGTACGAGGATCTGGGTCCCATCACTGGAAGTTGGTTGGACTTGGACGGTGGCTTGATCCCTATAACTTATCTCTTCTGGGCGAGAGCAGGCAACAGAACAAGGGTTCCGACGCCAGTGAGGCCCAACTCGCTCAGCATCCGAGGCTACAGCAGGGGTAGCAAAGTTCCCCGCCCTACTTCGCACGCTATAGGGCGGGAATCGTCTTAGCAGCAAGAACGCTCACACCGACATCAGCATCATCATCCTCCTCCTCCTCCTCATCATCATCATCATCATCATCATCATCATCGTCATCATCATCATCATCATCATCATCATCATCATCATCATCATCAGCAGCAGCATCAGCATCAGCAGCATCAGCAGGAGCATGATCGTCATGAGCATCAGCATCAGCATCAGCATCAGCACAATCAGCAGCAGCATAATCATCTTCAGCATAATCAGCATCAGCACTAGCAGCATCATCATCATCATCATCATCATCATCATCAGCAGCAGCAGCAGCAGCATCGTCCTCATGATCAGCATGATCAGCAGCATCATTCTCAGCCTCATTATCATCAGCATCATCAGCATCATCATCGTCATCGCCATCGTCGTCAACCTCAGCAGAATCAGCATCATAAGCATCATCAGTATCATCACCATCATCAGCACCATCATCATCATCATCATCATCATCATCATCAGCATCAGCATCATCAGCAGCAGCATCATCAGCATCATCACCATTATCAGCATCATAATCATAATCATCGACACCATCATCAGCATCATCCTCATCGTTGGCATCAGCATCAGCATCATCATCATCATCATCAGCATAATTATCATCATAATCATGTTCGTCATCATCGTCATCGTCATAATCGTCATCATAATTATCATCGTCATCATCATCGTCATCATCATCAGCATCATCATCAGCAGCGTCATCATCATCATCATCATAATCATCAGCATCAGCATCAACATCATCAGCATCCTCATTACAATCAGCAGCAGCAGCGAGAATCCCCAGAGACCCAGAACCAGGCTGGAGTACCAAAAACCATCGCGTCATGAGAAAAAAACGTTAATGACAATTTGTTCCTTGGTTTCGGCCGCTGGGGGCCCGTACCCGGCCTCGAGACCGTCAAACACAGAATGAAAAACTGGTCCCTGGGAAGTGGTCGAGACCTCTGGAAGCCGACGTTATGAAAAAAAACATGACGTCGGGGATCTGGATAGGTGAGCGGGTGGAATCTCATTGCTGCCATCTTGCGTAGGCCGCTCTGGCCCAGAAGATCGTGTGCCACACGTGCGGGTGCACAACCGCCCAGAGCAGGCAGCGGAGCAACTCTCGCACGTGCTTGGACAAAAATGTCCGGTGCCTCGCTGCCCATTCTCTTGCTCCTGGGGGCGATGATCCCCGGAGATGCGCCGCGCGACTTTCTCGGGACGTGGGCTCCCAGACCTCTCGGCCCCGTCCTTCCCCGGGCCCGCCCCGCATCCCGAGTCAGACTGTCGACTGCCCCCCCCGGGGGCCGAAGTCGGCCTGCGGAGAGCCGGAGCTGTGGAAGAACGGCCGTCTCGACCTCTTCGGGATCGCCAGATCTCTGCGGAGTATGGCAACGAGGGGGGAGGAGGTGAAGAGGCGCGACCACACACACACACACAAACGCACCCATACTACAGACGAGTCGCCCTGCAGGTGACGGTGGGAAGGCTCCAGAAACGAAATACATAAATGAATACAAGCTCCAATAGCTCGCTCGACTTGCCATCCACATGAGCCGTAGACCATGCAAAGCACCCGAAAACCCCACGGCGAGCAAATCAATAATTGATGTGTATTCCAAGTTGCTTCAAGCGACAAGCTCCTATGCCCCAACGCAGTGCCGCGCTTGGAGGCGCAATAACTGATCTGGCTGCTGATGCAGCTCCCTCCCTCCTCTCTCCTCCCTCCGCTTCTTCCCAAACTAATCCTCATCGTGTTCATGCTGTTGGTGTTGTCGCCGCTGCGGCTGCTCATGTTTCTGCTGCTGTCGTCCTCGATCTCGTTGTCAGTCTCGCCGTCGTTCTGATCATGTTGAACATGTTCCTCATCATCATCATCATCATCCTCCTCCTCCTCCTCCTCCTCCTCCTCCTCCTCCTCCTCCTCCTCCTCCTCCTCATCATCATCATCATCATCATCATCATCATCCACCTCCTCATGCTTCCTTCTTGTTGGCCGGCCTCGGCTGTCATCACGTGTCTGGCTGCCCTCGTCCTACTCATTGCTATGTATGTAGCCCTCTTGTGATATTCCTAAGTGCCCATATTGCGTTTGATCCGCTGGTTTATTCTCCTTTTCTTCTCCCAGGTCGTGCGTTGCCTTCCCCTCCCTCTCTTCGTCCTCCCCATCCTCTTCCTCCTCCTCCTCCTCCTCCTCCTCCTCCTCCTCCTCCTCCTCCCCACCACCACCACCAAAATCATACACATCATCATCATCACCATCATCATCATCATCATCATCATCATCAGCATCATCAGCATCATCATCATCAGCATTAGCATCATCATCACCATCACCATCACCATGATGATAATCATCATCATCAGCATCATCATCATCGTCATAAGCAAACTCATCATCACCATCATCAACAGCAGCATCATCATCTGAATCGTCATCAGCAGCTCTATCATCATCATCATCATCATCATCATCATCATCATCATCATCATCATCATCATCATCATCATCATCATCATCATCATCGCCGTCAGCATCAGCATCAACAGCATCATCAGCACCATCATCATAAGCATCAGCATCATCATCACCATCATCAGACTCGTATCGTCATTATCAACATCATCATGATCACCATCAGCATGATACCGTCGTCGTCATCATCGCCATCATGACCATCATCACCATCACCAGCATTAGCATCAGCATCATCAACATCACCGTCCTCATCCTCAGCGTCATCCTCATCCTTATCCGCATCATCGTCGCCATCCATCATAATCAGCATCATCATCATCATCATCATCATCATCATCATCATCATCATCATCATCGTCGTCGTCCTCGTCATCGTCAGCAGCAGCATCATCATCATCATCATCAGCAGCGTCATCCTCATCATCATCGTCATCGTCATCACCCTCATCACCATCATCACCGTCAGCACAATCATCGTCATCATCATCATCATCATCATCATCAGCATCGTCATCGTCATCGTCATCAGCATCACCACCATCAACATCAACATCAATAGCACCACCACCATCATCATCATCATCATACCCCCGTCGTCGCCGTCATCGGCAGCAGGAGGAGCATGAGGATCAGCTTCCCCATCATCGTCATTACCATCCGCAGCATCAGTATCCCCAACAGCATCGCAGTATCAGCATCAGCACCATCATCATCAGCATCATCAGCATCGTCAGCATCATCGTCATCATCAGCATCATCATCCTCATCGGCATCGTCATCAGTCAGCATCATCATCATACACATCGTTAGCACCAGCATCATCAATATCATCATCAGCATGATCATCATCATCATCATCATCATCATCATCATCATCATCATCATCATCATCATCATCATCATCATCATCATCATCATCATCATCAACCCCGAGGAGCAGGCGGCGTCCTGACCTCTGGTCTCTTCCCCACGCCCCGTTCCCCCCTCCCCCTCCCCCCGCTCCCCTCGCCCCATACCCCCCCTGCCAGCAGGCCAGCATCGCCGCCAGCCGCGCCGAGGCGAGGAGACGCCAACGAGCCGGAGTGGCTCCCTGGAGTGACGCCCCGCCGCTGCCCCGCCCGTCCCCCCGAGCCCGCCCCGGAGGAGAGGGAGGCTCGGGACGGACCCGGAGGCTGCGGGGAAGGCCTGGTCGGACTGGCTGTTCTGGCAGGCGCGGCCCTCCCTCCCTCTTGCTTCTCGTTCTTGGCATGGTCCTCTCCAGGGGTGGAGTCCTAGTGACTCTCCCCCCTCGGGTGGCGCAGGTGGTACGTCGTGCACCACCCCGTCCGAGCACACTCATAGCGAGTACGGATCATCCCCATGCCGACGTTGCGCGCCCGCCTACCTCCTCCCTCATCCCTCCTCCCTCCTCCCTCCTCCCTTCTCCCTCCTCCCTCCTCCTCCTCCTCCTCCTCATCATCCTCATCCTCATCCTTCTCCACCTCCTCTTCCTCCTCCTCCTAATCATCACCAGCATCAGCATCAGCATCAGCAGCCCCCTCGAGAGCAGGATGCAGGGCCGACGCAAGGGGGGGCCCAGCCCCTCCCACGCCACCAGGAACCATGCTGCGGCGCGGACAATGGCGGCTGCCGCGTGCGCGGCCAGGCGTAGCGCTGGCAGGTCCATGCGGACGCTGCCACTGCTCGTCGGGGTGTTCAACCCCCTGTCGGCGTTGGGGTGCAGGGCCGAGGACACAGCGGAGGGGGTTGCGAACTTCGATGTCTTCGTGCTGGTAGGCACGCAGAGCAAAGCGTTCACAGGCTACACGCACGGACTCCAGCCTGATGCAAGTGGACCGCTCATCATTGATTGCTGGGGCTCTGTAGCATACACGAACAAATCGGCTGGTTGCAGGCTCCTGTGGGGGCGCAGGTGGATCGTACACATCTACGGCGAGTTCTTCAAACCACAGCGCCGCTTCAGGGACGAGTCTTGGCGGCAAGATGCAAAAATCGTTTGGTGGACATCAAAGCTGTCATGATACACTATCCGCCCAAGCCGAGGTCGGCCAGGGCGGGGACTCACTACAGAGAGACCTGCACAAGAATGACACAATGGCTGGACCAGGTGCTGCGAAGTACGCCACACTCCTCGCTGCCGCTCGTTTTAACAGACTTGAGCGACGGTATCTGCAGTGGCGCCCTACTGGCACAGGGGTACGTCGAAGAGGGGTGGTCAGCAAAGACAGTGCTACCAAAGAATTCACTGAGGGGGCGGGCGAACAGATGCGTGAAGTGCTCCTTCAGCATCACATGGCGGCGTTGTACAATGACACGGCGGCGCCGACCTGGTTCGGCGACAACGGAGAGAAGCCGAGACTAGATTACAGCATGGGCCCCTTGGCATGGAAGGACGTCTGCACGCAGGCGGCACCAGACCTGCTGTTCGAACGCAGGTTTCAAGCCATTCCAGAAAAGGAGCTGAGGGACCATGCACCTGTGAACGCACAGGTATTGCACGACAGATTGGCAACGAGCGCAGACTACACTGATGGGCTAGAAAAAAATTGAACAGGGATACTTTGGTGCACGCTCTTGGAGAAACGGAGACCGCAAGCACGATTACCTTGAGAAGCTCAGCAACTTTCTGAAACTAAACAAGGAGACGCAGTGGGCCGATCTTGGACTACAACCTATCCCAGACGCCTTCTTTGGTTCTTGGCAGAAGATATTTCGAATGTTGCTCAACCCTGTTTCTTGGAGCCGCATTTCGTCGACGTGAACTACAAGCAGCTCCAACCGGCGAGGCTGGCGGTGATCTACGTAAAACCACATGGGCTACCGAGCTGACGAAAAGAGGAAGTCGAAGCTCAGCTCAAGCACATCTCGAAAGAATGTGGAAAGTACGCAAGCGGGCAAGAAAACAGGCCAGAGAAGCCATCGCGCAAGGAGTCCAAGAACAGCGGGAAGCTAGACAGTTTGCACAAGCATACAGGGCAGCAATCAGGTTGGGAAATACGAGGTTGGGGACCAATAGGAGAGACCTTCGAATCCTGCCTCTAGCGAATCCGACGAAGACCGAGTGGACGCAAGCGCTCGAACGACCTGGACGGGAGGGAGGAGTGGGAGCAGTGGAGCTAAGTATGCACCCACCAATGGAAGGGCCAGAGCTCGAATGTGAAGAAGTACCTGACGAACTTCCCCGCATACCAGAGCCCTGGGATTACATGCCAGACGACCCAGAGCAGCCCCCTGTTGTTGGCATCGAGCATGAGACCGACGCTGTCCTTGAAAGTGGGCGAGACATCAAGAAATTAAAATGGTATCTATGGACTACACCAAGGACAAAGGCCTGTCCAGCTCAGTCATCATCGGCGGAGCTCTACTGGATGGCGTTGCACCGGTTCAGGAGCACCAGGTGCAATGGCGTGGACACGGACAACGGCGACATTGAGACGAGTCTGCACTTGGCTTTCTACAATGTGAGATATCATCAGATCACGCTGAAGAATTGGCACCTCAGTGAATGTGAACCCGCAACGAAGAACGAAGATCCTGGACCAAAACAGCGGCGACGACATCCCATTCCCCACATCTTGGGCGAAGGTGTTTTCGCGTGCTGCATCGGAGCTAGACGACCTGACCCGCTACTCCAGAGCACCATGGCAACGCTTTAAGACGAAGGAGGGAGACAGCGATGGTGACCTCCATGGCGACCGCGTACCTGTTGAAGCAGCTGGAGTGCACCTACGTGAACACCTGCAAGGACATGACGAACGCGTTCGCCTTGGTGGCCTGGCTCTGCATGGAAAAGGCAGCTGCTGATCTTGTGCGCCCGAAGAATATCAGGCTCCCTCTACAGCGTATTCGGTGTGCACAAGTGCTTCCCGCAGCCACAGAAAGTATACTCAGGTTTCGACCGACACAGGGAGGCCTCATAGGGGACCCGCTCACGGTGCACTGCTTTCCTCGTGCCTTCTCCCACGCCATTGGCCCGTGGACTTCGCGGTGGAGTCGGGGAAAAAAGATGACGTGGACAAGAGATTAGTGGTGAAGTGCCCTATCACGGACAAGAGGTAGACCTGGGGCTGTGCCTGTACGCGGACGACATCAACAAGAAGGTACTCCAGTACCCACCAGCCACGAGGGATACGGTCAACCTAGACAAGCTGCGAACCCAGAAGAAAGAATGCGGCGCGATCATGGACACCAGCCTCAGCAGCATAGGACTCGCCCAGAACAAATTAGCCTGACGAAGGACCCAACCATGTGCAGTTGCGAGTACCGCATTGTGGGTACCGGTTTCGGTGGAGCTCCTATGGGGCCACAAAACTTGTGAGAGGTGCGCCGAAATTGGTGGCGCGGACGCATGTGGACACCGCCACTGGGGCCTTCGGTGTAGCTCCCTATGGGGCCACGAAACGCTGCCCTGGGCGAGGGAGACGCATGCGAACTGCGCCATTGGGACCTTCGCTGGAGCTCCTTATGGGGCCACGAAGCGCTGTCATGGGTGGGGGAGACGCATGCGAACTGCGCCTCTGGGGCCTTCGGTGGAGCTCCCTATGGGGCCACGAAACGCTGCCCTGGGTGGGGGAACCGCATGCGCCCACCCCCACTGGGGCCTTCGGTGGAGCTCCCTGTGGGGCCAAGAAACGCTGCCCTGGGTGGGGGAACCGCATGCGCCCACCCCCACTGGGACCTTCGGTGGAGCTCCCTATGAGGCTACGAAACGTGTGAGAGGTGCGCCGAGAGCAGAGGCAAGGAGGGGGAGGAGGGAGGAGGGAAGGGGGCAGCGGGAGTAGGAGTGAACGCGGGGCGCTGTCTCTTCAAAACGAGGACCCAACACCACAGGATGGTTGGGAAAAAAGGAGATTGTCATGGCCATCCACGGGCGCGGGAGGGATATCGCGAGGCGGGATTTGCGAGGTATGGAACATCGAATACAATCTGACGGACAGCTTACGGACTACGCAAGGTACATTGGGCCCAGTGTGACCAGTGATCAAGGATTCGGCATTAAGTTGACAAAGAGAGTGCAGATGGCGAAAACAGCATTCTATTACATGGGATTCCTGGAGTGCAGCCAAACAAGGCCATGGAGGTGGAGACGCACGGTGCTATTGGGCCGCGTTGACGATGCTGCTCTCTCGGCGGTCGAGCATTTCCCGCCGACCAGGAGACCGCACGACGTTATTGATGGAGTGGTGGCCTCGCTGGCGAGAATTGCGATGAGAGGAAGGGCGTGCACATGGAACGAGGACCAGTGCGGAGGTCCTGACGCACGGCAAGGTTGCTCCTTCAGAGGTGGAGCTGTGCGTGCGTCGCGTGAGGTGGCTACAGCAGGCGGCGGCGGACGGACGTTTAAGGCTAAGTTTCCTCCTCCTCCTCCTCCTCCTCCTCCTCCTCCTCCTCCTCCTCCTCCTCCGCCTCCTCCTCCTCCTCCTCCTCCTCCTCCTCCTCCTCCTCATCCTCATCCTTCTCCTCCTCCTCCTCATCCTCCTCCTCCTCCGCCTCCGCCTCCTTCTCCTCCCCGCGTTCCCCCCAGGTTCCGTCCTCCGCCGCGCCGCCCCGCGAGAAGGCCTCGCGAAGCGCATGCTTCACGCGCTCCTGCTGCGCCTTCATGGCGCCGCGCTCCTGGTCCAGCTCATGCTGGGCGCCGCTGCCCAGACGCCGCAGCTCGCGCACGAGCGCTTCAGGCGGCGGGGCCACGCGGAAGCGGGCCTGGAGGAGCAAAAAACGGCAGCAACACAAACTGATGGAGCTCCGCGCAGGTGTCTTGGATCGACGCTGGACCCCCACTTGGCGACATCCGAACCCTACCCCCAGAAACCATCGATTCTTCTGAATCGATGGTAGGCGGGGGTAGGGCTCGGAATTCGCCGCGCGTTCGACGAATTCTGAACCCCAACCCCCGCCGCCCATGGAGTTGCCTGAATCGCTGGTCGGCGAGGGTAGAGTTCGGATATTTCGCCGCCGAGCCCCCTCCCCCCTGGCGCGCGGAGCGCGCCAGGGGCTGCATCCGAGGCGCCTCCACGGGGGCCCCAGCGCCGATCCGAGAAATTCGCGCGGAACGCCGAAAGCTCATGCTCATGCCGCTCTTCCCTCTCCTCGAGGGCCGTGGCGCCGCCCGAGCCCGCCGCGGGGGCGAGCACGGCGACCTCGACGCGGCCCGGCGCGACGCCAGCCGCGTCGGCCACGGCCTCCGCGAGCGCGGCCTCGAGGCAAGATCCATCAGCAGAGGATCGGGGAATCGGATCGGCTCCGGGCGTGTACGGGGTCGGAGTCGGATCGGCGCGGCGTCGGACTTGGATCGGAACGGCCGCGCCGAGAGGCACAGCAGCGCCATGCAAGCATCGTGCCGCATTGGGTCGCCAGGAGAGCGAAGCCTAACACGACGCGAAGATCGGGACAAAATCGGATCGGGATAACTCGAAATCTCTGAGAATCGGCGGGTTTAGAGGATGTATTGGGCGCCGCGGCCGCTCCAGAGCGTCCCGGAACGCTCTGAGAGCGCTCCGGAACGCTCTGGAGCGATTTATCCCGATCCTAGCCCTGTTTGAAAGCCGGACCAGGTCCAGCGGGTCAGAACCGACACCAGATCGGATCGGGCCAGATCGAAATGGGGCTCGCCTCGGCGTCACACGTGAGGGCTAGCTGCGCGAGTGCGTCGGTGTCCAGCTCGAGCCCCCCGCGTACTGACAGGAACTGGTCGTGCGCGCTGAGCACTCCCTCCTGCTCCTCCAAGCGCCTGTCCGTGCGAACGCTCTGCACCGCCAAGGTCATGATGGGCGAGCTCTTGACGTTTGCCTCGTCCATCTCGCCCCTCTGCCGGAGCAGTATCAGGAGGCCCACAACGAGGAAAGCGCGGTTTCGCGCGGCGCAAGTCGGCCACCCGTCCTCACCGACGCTGCCGTCGTACGAGCAGTACTCCCACGCCAGTATCAGGTTCGTGTCCAGTAGCGTCCACACCTGGGGGGACAGTGAGGATGCCGATATCGCTGCTCTCCCGGGAAGTCTGACCAGGATTCCGAGACGAGTCCAGCTGTGGCGACGAGGGCCCTCCAGGAAACACCAGAAAAGCGAAAACGGGAACGGGATAGATACCGGCATGGGTATCTCTGCCGTCCCTGAGCACCGCGTTGTTGACGAAGACGCCCCCGAGGATGGAAACGATGTCGAAGAAGGTGGGCAGGTACCACCAATCCTGAGGGGCAACGTCAGGGGCCCAGCTCGGAGAGGGAAACGTCGGGAAACGTCGAGCTTGAATCGGCAACGGATCACCGATAGATCGGCGATGGGCCCCTGAAGGCGAATCCGCAAGCTCATCATGGGCGGGGTGGGGCCATCGAGCCCCTGCCGGCGATGAATTGAACAGTTGGGGATCGAGGCATCCCCCCCTGAGCACATCCCCCCTCCCAGCGCTGCCCCTGAAGTCCTCCTCCACCGGCTCCACGCTCTCCCGCACACCGTCGCCTCCACGCTCCTCCTGCACCACGCGCCTCTCTGCCACCGAGGCATCGCTGGCGATCAGCTCGGTGCTCACCTGGCAGAGGAGGCCCAGGGCGATGTATCGGAGGAAGGCCAGTCGAGACAACGGCTACCCTCCCTGGCGTTTTTCGTCCTCACTGGGCCTCCTGGAGGCTTCTCGTCGCCACGGCTGGATCCGCGTCGAAGAACGGGACAGGATGGACCCTGGGAAGGGTCCGGGAACCGATGTCGAGCGGATCGGGCGGAAGAGCAGCCGTTGTCTGCACTTGTCCTCATCCGAATGTAGAACAGCTGTGCCCAGACGGACTCGGGGTCGTCCGCGTACCCGAAGGAATCGCCAGTCGTGAGGTCCGTCCCAAGGAGGTCGCAAATCCTGGGACGCATGAGGACATACCAGCACTATGAACCCCTGTTAGGGAGGCACGCCCGACGCCAACATGTCATACAACATCTTGCAGCGTATCGCTTCCCGAGCGGTACGGCCAGAAAGCGCCCGCCACGGAGCCCGTACTGCAAGATTTCCGAGCGTGCGCGTCGCCATGCGTAGCCCTTTGCGTGGCCGACGCACATAGGATCGAAGTATGCTTGGGTGGCGCCGACGTCCCGACCCACAGCAGGAGGCCCGAGAACGTGTCCACGAGCGTGACGACCCAGGCGTGGAGCTGGAGATCGCTTTTTTTTCTCGGCGAGAGCCCGGGCTATCGGGTGGGGGGGCGGGGGGGGGGTGGGGCTGGCTGATCACCTGACCCTTCCGTTGTGGGCAGACCACCCGGATACGCCTGCACGCACGCACCAATACTGCGTACCCCCATCGGACCTGCGCGTCCGGAAAAGGGCATGTTATTGGGGGGGAGCGCAGGGGGGGGGGCGGGCGGGCCCGACAACCCGGGCCATCGCAGGACCCTAACAAAAACAGTCTCCTGGAGGCCCTCCGCCACGAGCCGCCCCTGCGAGCCCGCGTTCTGCCCGAGCGTCTGGGACGCGACCATCAGCAGCAGCGCGAGGGCCACGAGAGCGGCGTCGACCGCCGTCTGCCCAGCCCAGCAGTCGGCCGGGACCAGGTCCTCGGAGGAAGAGGTACCAAGAAGGTGAGGGCGTTGGATAAGGAACCATTCGACAAGGAATCCAGGGTATGCAAGCTAGTGGGACACCAAGCGTGGGTTCGCCACGGACACCACAACCGTCCCCATCAGATGAGGAACACTCCAGGCTCTGAAGCCTCCTTGGCACATTCCTTCACCAACGCCGCTACGTTTGCCTCGTTCTCGCCTTTTCGGTGCCCCCTGGGAGGCCCCCGTCGCCGCGGCTGGGTTCGCCGCGCAATGCTGGTCAGAGCGCACCCTGGGAGAGGTCCAGGGGAGTAGCCCCGTATCGGTATCCTTCGGTTCCCTCGGATCCTGGACCAACGGCAGGAGCTCGTTGAGGCGGTCGCACGCGCCGACCCATAGGAACACGCTCCCCAGGAGCGCCACCACCATCCTCAGAAAGAAACACAGCGTGAGCGTGATGTGTGGGAGCTCCGCGCGGATTTCTCGGATTGGCGCTGGGGGCGCCGCCTGGGGGGCTCCAGCGCAGATCGAAGAAATCCACGCGGAGCTCAGATCAAATACGTGTACACCTCTGCACAGAGTTAAGAAAATTCTTAACTAAGAAATTCGATTCCACTCGAAGCGTTCTCTAAAACAGAAACAATAGTCCAGGTCCAGATATATCGATGAAACGACCAGGGTCCATTCCAGACTCTTGCTTTTCTTGAACGAAACCTGGAGCCCATGAAAGTTGACGTTTTATCTTCAGATATCTGATGGGTGTATGCAATTGTTGCTTTCTCTCTGTTTGGGGGTTCCAACACGGTGCGGTGACGGACCGTGCGGTGAGCACGAAATCCCCAGAGACCTCACCGCACCGTGTTGGAACCCTGGAGGCACCCGTCGCCGGAGACCTCCTCGAAGAGCGACCCGGGCCCTCGCCACGGACTCCCCACGCCGTGAGGCCACCCCGCACCGCCTGGGGCCCCCACGCTCCTGCAGGAGTCGTACGCCAGCCGGAACCGCGCAATGGCCCGGGCGTCCGCGGCCTGGCTGCCCCCGACGATGCCCAGGCGGCGGCTCCACCACGCCGTCGCCTCGTCGGCCTCCTTTGCCCTGGCGGCGGCCTCGTCGGCCGCCCGCGCTCGGAGCGCCTCCAGGCGCGCGGCGGCCTCCCGCGCCCGGGCGCCGGCCGTCTCCCCCGCCTGCGCAGGAAGGAGGGCCCCCCCGTGCAGCACCAGCGCGCCCAGCCAGGGCCACCCCTGGGCGCTGGCGTGGTGCACGCGCCCTCCTCTCCGAGGTCAGGCCTGCTCCTCCTCCCCCTCCTCCCCCTCGTCCACTCCTTCTCCTTATGCAGAACGCCTCCCTGTCGCACCCCGAGGCCAGTCGGAAGGGCGGGCCAGGCGTTCCGCCGGAGACTTCCGTACCATTTATGATCCTGAAGCGGGTCGCTTCCAAAATGTGGCTCTCGCTTTAGCGCCGCGAACATTCGTCTTCAAGATTTGCAAGAGCTTCACGGATGGAGGGCAGACCGCTTTCAGCATATGGATCTCGCCTGAGCGCCGCACCAATGCGTCTTAAAAGATTACAAGAGCTTCCCAAATGTAGGGTGGACCGCTTTCAAAATGTGGCTCTCGCCTTGGCGCCACACACTTTCGTCATCTTCGCAAGAGCTTCACTGATTGAGGGCGGCTCTTTTCCAAAATGTGGCTCTCGCCTTAGCTCCGCGCACACTCATCTTCAAGACTTGCAATAGTTCCACGGGTTCCCAGGGTCACCGTATCAGAAGCGGTGTTTGGAACGGCCTCAGATGGTCAGGGCGCACCAGTTACGTTGACTCGCGGTGTTGAAGTCCCAAGAACGGCGATCTGGTACGACCCAGGGTCGTCAGGACGCAACAGTCAATATGATTCGTGGCGTTGGAGTCCCGAGAATGGTGTCTTGGCACGTTTCAGGATCTTCAAACGGTTGTCCCCCAATGGGGAACTTCCCTCAGAGGAAATGAACCATGTTAGGGGCCTATGAAGAGGGAGCTCGGAGCGAGTGTTCATTCCAACATCGTTGATGAGTCGTGGGTTTGCACTGGTTCCTCTCCTCCTCCTCCCCCTCCTCCCCCTCATCCTCTTCCTCCTCCTCCTCCCCCTCCCCCTCCTCCTCCTCCGCGGACCTGTGGCCCTTCCCCCAAGCGCGAAGCCCACCGAGAGAGTCCAAGACGATCCTCCCCCTCCTAATTATCCTCCTCCTCCTCCTCCTCCTCCTCCTCCTCATCCTCATCCTCCTCCTGCTCCCCCTCCATCCCTCTTCCTTATAAATAGCTCCTCCCTGTCGCACCCCGAGAACGGTCGAAAGGGCGGGCCGGGCGTTTCGCCTGAGATTTCCTCACCACTTATGATCCTGAAGCTTGAAATTGGCAAGAGCTTCACGGATGGAGGGCGGCCCTCTTTCAAAATGTGGCTCTCGCATTAGCGCCGCGCTCATTCTTTAAACAATTGCAGCTCACGGATTGGAGGCGGTTCTTTTTCAAATTCGCAACCGTTTCACGGATGGAGGGCGACCCGCTTTCAAAATGTGGCCCTCGCCCTAGCGCCGCGCACATTCGTCTTCGAAACTAGCAAGAGCTTCACGGATGGAGGTCGGTTTCTTTTCTTTCAAAGTGTGGCGGCGCTCGCCATGGCGCCGCGCACATCCGTCTTAAAAGCTCGCAACATATCAAAGGACTAGCATGGCGAATTTCCCAGAAATGGTGTTCTGGCACGATGTCGGAATATCAGGGCGCAACAATCACGATGATTGGCGGTGTTGCCCAGGATTTGTGTTCGAGCACGGTTCAGGATCGTCAAGACGCAACATTAACGGTGATTCGCGACGTTGACGTCCCAGGAATGGGGTTCTGGCCCAGTTCTGGATTTTCAAACGGTTGTTTTCCAACCGGGCACCTCCCTCTGAGGAAATGAACCTTTGTATGGGGCCTATGAAGAGGGAACTTGGAGGGGGGGGTTATAGCAAAATCGTTGATGAGTCTTGGATTTACAGTGGTCCTCCTCCTCCTCCTCCTCCTCCTCCTCCTCCTCCTCCCCCTCCTCCTCCTCATCCCCCTCCTCCCCCTCCTCCCCCTCCTCCTCCCCCTCGCACTCCTAAACTTAGGGGGGGGGCGCACTGGTGCGTTCGCCTGGCTCATAATTTGGGGGGGCGCATGATTCGCAATTGCAGGGGGCCTCACCCAATATTCTGGGAGACGCCATTCCGCCGTGCGGTCGATGGCAACCGTCCGCGCCAACTCGCAAGCCACACTTCCATCTACGAACCCGACGAACGCACCAAATACTCATGCGCCCGCTGAGTGTACCTGTCAGCGTCCTCCCACAACGTCAAGTTCACCACTGCTGCAAACCAAGATTTGGCGACAGAGACGCCTCAAAATGCCCAGGGTGCGAAACTCTGAAACTCCTGATCTTCCTTTGGCGACGGCGCCTTCGGTGAACCACTGAATGCCGTGGGCGCGCAATCGAGATCTGACGAGAGAGTGGCAGAATAACCCCCCGCCAGCGAAGACCTACTTCTCGCATTGCTTGATTCGTTAATGGCGTCGTAAGCAACTGCCCTACGGAACAAAAATCCAAGAACCTGGAGGCATGCGCTGGGGAACCCAAAGGTACCCATTGATACGTTTCCTAAGGGGACGCCAGCGAAAGGAACTTCTGAGACCGCTGCGTTGCATTTGAGACTTCGAACAGTGCAAGTGCAAGCGTCATGCAGCGGCCTGGTGGGCGAAGCCGCGCGGATTTGAGAAATCAGCATCTCCCTTCTCAAACATCCCTTTCCCAGGGGCGCCTTCTGGAATCGCATGACCCATACCCCTACTCCCCGGGACCTCTCCCGAGGTGCGCTCTGACCCGGACTTCGGGACGAATCCAGCGGTGGCGACGAGGGCCTCCCAGGAGGCCCCGGAAAGGGGAAAGCCGGGCAACGGCAGCGGCATCGGTACCTTTCGCGCCTCGGCTGCGCCCTCCCGCCAGGGCCCGGCACGGCCCTGGCCACCCGACACGGTGGTGGTGCACGGGCGCCCTCTGCGGACGCCTGCTGCCCCAGCCCGGCCCAGCGCAGCCCCTCCCCGCTGCGGACCATGGCCTCCAGCCCCTCGGCGTGCCGCCTCGCGCGCAGGGCGGCCGCGCGCCTGCCGCTCTCCTCCTCGAGCCGCAGCGCGGGGTCCGTGTAGTAGCTGACCTGCGGGGCAGCGGGGGTCGGGGGCGGGGGAGGTCGGCGGCGAGCGAGCGGCCCGGGGGGGATCGAGGACCGGCGGGCGCGGGGGGGGGAGGAGAATCGGGAGGGGATCGAGGATCCAGGATCGAGAGGATCCAGGATCCAGGATCGAGGAGGAGGATCGGGAGAGGATCGGGAGGGGACCGAGGATCGAGGAGGATCGAGGATCCAGAGTCGGCGGCGAGCGAGGGGGAGAAGTGAGAGAAGGAGATGGCCTCCTCAGAAGGCGGCGGGGCTCCTCAGAAGCCCCCGCGCAATTTGGAGTCTCCCGTGCCTCCTCGGGGAAGGCTTAGAAAACTTCTCAGAAGGCCGGAGGACTTCCGAGCCTCTGAGAAGGCCCGCCCCTTCTCACTTCCCCCCGGGCTCGTCGCCAGAGAAGGACACCGCCACCCTTGCCTCGGTGTCCCCTTTGGGGGGCCTCGTGGGCGGCACTCGTCACCACGGCTGGGTTCGCCTCGAAATCCTAGTCAGAACGCACCCCAGGAGAGGTCCGGGGAGCAGCGGTATCCGTACCTGTGGGTTTCCTAAGATAGGGGTGGACCAGCTCAAGGGGGGTGGGGGGGGGGGGGAATGCACCGAGCTGGAATTGGCGATACATCGCCGATGGGTCGACAGTAGGCCCCCAATAGCAAATCCCGCATCTTCTGTCGGAACCCTCTCGGCGATCAATGGGCGCGTGGGGGGCGATGCATCCCCTCTCAGCCTATCCCCCACCACCGTTGCCCCTGATGACCGCGAGGGTGTTCGTCAGGAGGCCCGTGGCGAGGCCGACGACCACGTCCGCCCCCCATGCCCCCCTGGCACGCTGAGGCGTGGTAGAATGAAGGCGAAGCCAAGACATGGATAAAATCGGACAATGCTCAATCGGGGATCTCTGAGACGAGGCGGTTCTGGAGGATGCATTGGGCGCCGCGGCCTTCTCAGGGTTTGCCAGAACGCTCTGAAAGCACTCCAGAACGGCTATGGGACGATTTCTCCCCGCCCCAGCCCCGCCCGAAGAGTGCCCCCGGGGCGCCCGACTCCGTGCCCTCGCGCCCCGCGGTGCCTGGTGTGCGGTCATCCTCGCGCCGTTGCGCCGCCCCCTTGCCCCACGGAGGCGTGGCAGAGTGCCCCCCCGGGTCGCCCGAAACGTTTGCGCCTCGCGCCCCGCGGTGCGCGACGCGCGGCATCGTCGCGCCCTCACGCCGCCACCTGGGGACGGATAGCCCAGTGGCCCCGACCGCGACGCGCGAAGCGCGACTGTCTTCGCGCCCCTGGGGTCACCCGGATGCTCAGTGCTGTCTGGCAAAGTGGGTGCATGCGGTGAGAAGTCTTGGCGTGAAAGATCTGGGGACACACACTGTCCGGCCGATGTTGGACTTCGCGAGGAGCCCACCAACTCCAACGGGTCCAGGGCCGTCGGGGATTAAGAGATCTCCGCGGGGCACTTGCTTGCAGGCTGGTTTCTTCTTTGGCGTGCCCAGTGTAGGGCCTTCTAGGCGGTGCTCGACGGTTCGCCACTCTGGGTGTTTCGCTGTCACGGTGGCGGATTTGCCGCAGGCACCTGGATAGATGACGTCTCGGAGCTCCGAGTCCTTCGCCAGGTCTATGTCGCACATCGTCCAGGCGCCCACCCAGAACAGGCTGGAGCCGACGGCCGTCAGCAAGGCGCTGCCCACCGAGCCCCAGAACGCTTTGGTACTGGACAGCTCCAGCTTGTTGTTGTCGGCCCCCCTGCTCCCGCAGAGGCAACTGGCGAGGAGTCCAGGCCAGCGCCCCCACCTCTCGCTGGTCTCCTCCTGCTGTTGAGGCCTGACCACGACGCGGAGAACGGCGGGCTCCTTGGTGGCCTTCATCTCGCGGGTGGCGGCGTCGAGGTCCAGGAAGTGGCCGTGCATCGCGTTCTTTACGCGCACGGTCAGAGACCCCGCGGGCGAGGTGCTCCGCGATTTGCCCAGGGGTCCATCCTGGGCACTTACAGGCAGCAGCTCGAACCTCGTCAAGGGACCATTCCAGCCACCGTTGCAGTCCACTGCCAAGGCCTTCCCCCCACGGATGCGCAGAAAGCCGCCCAAGTCGCCGCCGGCTGTGCCGTCCTCGAGGTGGGCCTGGAAAGTCCAGAAACCGCTGGCGCCGTCGCTGCTTTCATAATTAGCGCCAGAGCCACCCCCCATGACAACCCGGAAGGTCCTGTCGCTCTCTGCCACGTCGTTCGCGAATCGGACATCGCATCCGTCGATGGCCGCCAGGGCCTTGCTCGCTGGCTGTGGCGCCCGCAGCACCAGGCCTGCCAGGTCGCCACGGCCTGTGCCTGCGCCCTTGCCTTTCGCCTTCCCCTTCCCCTTGCCCTTGTCCTTGTCCTTGTCCTTGCCGCTGCCCAGGCCATTGCCGTTGTTGCCTCCGCCCGCGGGCGCCGGCGCGTCTGGCGCGCCCTCGCCGCCGACCGCACCCGCGACGGCCTCGTCCGAACCCGTGGCGCCGTGAGCCTGTTCCAGGTCCAGCGCCGTCGCTGGGTCTGCCAGGTCGCCCTCGCCGCCGACCGCGCCCGCGACGGCCTCGTCTGAACCAGTGGCGCCCCGAGCCTGCTCGAGGTCCGGCGCCGTCGCCAGAACTGCCAGGTCGCCCCAGCCTGCGCCTGCGTCATCAGCTTGCCCTTTCCCCTTCCCCTTGGCCTTGCCCTTCCCCGTGCCTTTGCCCCTGCCCGGGCCCTGACCGTTGCTGCCCCCGCCCGCAGGCGCCGGCGCGTCCGGCCCGCCCTCTCCGCCCGCGCCCACGACGGCCCTCTCTGAACCTGTGGCGCCCGCGCCCACGAGATCGCCACCGCGCCTGCCCCTGCGACCGCCGCTGGCGCCGCCCTCCATCTCGCTGCCGCACCGGCCTCGCGGAGTGGGGCGCCGCGGGTCCTGGGAGCCAGGCCGCGGCCCTGGGGATCGAATCGTTCCGACAGCGCGCTCGCAACGCGACTCGGGCATAGGCCATGGGGTCACCTAGCTTCGCGCTGTGCGCTGCGCGAAGCGCCGTTGGCTTGCTCGCTTCCGCTTGGACCCCTAGAGGTGGTCAACCCTGTTGCCCAGGCCGCGAAGAGTGAATCGTGGTTATATTCGTACCCCTGCAGGTGTGCTACGCAGCCACGCAAAGTGAAGCAGGTCCGCGTGCACAAGCAGGTCGAAGAAAACCAGTATGGAAGCAGTCCAGTGCATCACGAGGGTAGACGGGCATTGTCGTTCACACCGATATGTTTCAGCTCGTCTCGGCAGGAGAACAACATCTGAAGGCTGGACGGGCATCGGCGGCCCAAATCCGCAACCTGAAAGGTTTCTGACACCCATCTTCAAAACGTCAACCTACCTTCCTGTGAAATGTCCGAACGAATAGAATATCACTCTGAGGAGACAGGATGGCGAAAGACTTGACCGAAATGGCATCTTATAGAAGCACCACTGATAATTCCGGCCATCTGCTAATCTGGCCATTTTCACTCGCCATGAATTCCAAGTGAGAGGTGCTGACGCACAGGCCTGGCCCTCCTGCCTGGGCAAGGGAGGCACATACTCCGACCCTGGGACCAGGTTGAGCATGAACAGGATCGGCGTGAGAGGAAAATCTGCATTCCAAGTCTTCTCTGGGAGCCAACCAGCAGATCACGCAAAGTGATCTCACCAATCGAAGTCTTGCCACAAAAAGCCCTACATCAGGAACGAGTCCCCTTCTCTGTGCACCTGGCCGTGCCTGGATCTACCAGGAGCACCCTGAGGAAGCGCCCGCTGAAGGATCTGAGGACCCCCCAGCCCCTTCCGAAACCGAAGCTTCCGAGGCTCTGACCGTAGACGAGGAGGAGGAGGAGGAGGAGAAGGAGGAAAGGATGGTCTCTGGAGGTCTCCACCTCAGGGGTCTCCATAGGACCCTAGAGGTCGGTGGATGACGATGAGGGTGACGATGGCGTTGATGATTAAGAGGAAGACGCTGAGCGGGAGCCCGGTCTCATTTGAAGGCCAATGGCTTTTCAATCTTCGGACTGAGGATGGGAGAAAACCAATTGTCCTCTGATGGGAGAAAACCAATTGTCCTCTTCTGACTTGAGCGAGATAGAGCGCGCGCAACATACTGCGGTTTCACTGGGCACCATTACTGAATGTATACATGCCTTTTGGATTGGTTCGAAAGTTCATGGTTTAGGAAAGATGTCAACGCACTTGGGCGCGCGTGGTCCGCATAGCATTCGTAACTTGGCAGGGATTGATGCATCGCACGTTAATAAGATCAACGCGTGCGTATCGCATCATCATGTTTGACTCGGACGACGGGAGGCATCAATGCTAGTTGGGCTGAGACGCGACGAGCTCATACTTGACATGCATGGCCGTGCAGGCTACAGAGAACAAAAAAAACAACGGAGGGGGGGGGGTCGTTAACCCCAGCCTCGGCAGGGGGAGAGCCCCCCTCGCTTTGTTTGATCCCTTCCCCGCGGAGGAGGGGGGCCGGGGGAAGGGGGTCCCGGGGGGGGGGGGGGGCCGGGTAGGGGAGCCCGGGGGGGTTCCCGGGTCAGAATACCACCCTCCCAGCCCGCCCCCTCTCCCTCCCATTTCCGTCGAAGGCCGAGGCCTCCAGCGTTGGCCGCACCGGCCGCAATGCCTTCGTAAGAACAACGGAGGGGGGGTCGTTAACCCCAGCCTCGGCAGGGGGAGAGCCCCCTCGCTTTGTAGTAGCAAGAGTCTGAGGTAGGTCCAGGGGAGGGCCTGGCCAACCGCGAACGGGAAAAACCCTGGGGTACCCTTGCAGGCATAGGATAAGCCTTGTGCAGGCCTGGAGGAAGGTCGCAGGGAAGGCCCATGGGGAGACTTAGGGATACGGCGTAGTGCCCAGGAAGGGCTGGGTGA